GTTGTGTCTCATTCAAAACTTTGTGGAGGAGACGTACAATTTCAGCTACTAGTGCTTTGTAATAGATTGCAGTGAAGCCATCTGGTCCTGATGCCTTACCTAATTTCAAACGCTTGATTGCCATTGTCACTTCATGCATTGTTTTTGTTCTTCCTCAGAGATAGTTGGGAGGTTTTGCTTTTGGAGATATTCTTGTATTTGTTCTTGTAATATTTCAAAGTACAAGAGAGGAGATTCCATCTGAACATGAGGAAGAACTTCCTGACTCTGAGAGCCGTTCAGCAGTGGAACTCTCTGCCCCGGAGTGTGGTGGAGGCTCCTTCTGTGGAAGCTTTTAAACAGAGGCTGGATGGCCATCTGTTGGGGGTGATTTGAATGCAACATTCCTGCTTCTTGGCAGAATGGGGTTGGACTGGATGATGGCGCAGGAGGTCTCTTCCAACTCTTTGGTTCTAGGATTCTATGAGAGGCTGGCTGGCCATCTGTCAGGGGTGATTTGAATGCAATATTCCTGCTTCTTGGCAGAATGGGGTTGGACTGGATGGCCCAGGAGGTCTCTTCCCACTCTAGGATTCTAGGATTCTATGATTCTCTCTCTTGTAAAGTTGATGAAAGTTGAAAGTATTTTTGGAATGTCTGTTTTATCTTTTATTCTCCCTTTATTTCTCGTTCATTCATTTTAACATATTAATATTTCTCTTTTGCATCTCTTTACTTAATTTATTTACCAGCTGTTTCCCTGGTTTATTTGCATGTTCAAAGTATTTTTGCTTTTCCAAATTGGAAGAGCCTTACAGAATCAAAGGATCACATTTTAGGCCATTTGGAGACCTCTTGAAGGCCTCTTCCAAAAGGCATCCAGGGAAGACGTTTTCTCTCCACAACCTCAAGATTTCCTTTTGTCTGGCCAGACTTGAGGCCATGTTTTTATTTAATCTACGGGATGAAAGCCAGTTTATCTCCTCCCCACTTTCCTGTTTCACCTGTGTTCCATAAGGCATTTGTGTGGTGGCTTCTATAGGAAGTTGGCGTCGAATGTTGTTGTTGTTGTTCATTCGTTCAGTCGTCTCCGACTCTTCGTGACCTCATGGACCAGCCCACGCCAGAGCTCCCTGTCGGCCGTCACCACCCTCAGCTCCCTCAAGGTCAGTCCAGTCACTTCAAGGATGCCATCCATCCATCTTGCCCTTGGTCGGCCCCTCTTCCTTTTGCCTTCCACTTTCCCCAGCATCATTCCCTTCTCTAGGCTTTGCTCTCTGCTCATGATGTGGCCAAAGGACTTCCACTTTCCCTCTCGTCTCCTTCCCTCCAATGAGCAGCCGGGCTTTCTTTCCTGGAGGATGGACTGGTTGGATCTTCTCGCAGTCCAAGGCACTCTCAGCACTTTCCTCCAACACCACAGTTCAAAAGCATCTCTCTTCCTTCGCTCAGCCTTCCCTAAGGTCCAGCTCTCACATCCGTAGGTTACGACAGGGAATACCATGGCTTTGACTAGGCAATGGATCTTTGTTGCCAGTCTGATGTCTCTACTCCTTACTATTTTATCGAGACTGGACATTGCTCTCCTCCCAAGAAGGAAGCGTCTTCTGATTTCCTGGCCACAGTCTGCATCTGCAGTAGTCTTTGCACCTAGAAATACAAACCCTGTCACGGCCTCCACGTTTTCTCCCTCTATTTCCCAGTTGTCAATCATTCTTGTTGCCATAATCTTGGTTTTTTTGACGTTTAGCTGCAACCCAGCTTTTGCGCTTTCTTCTTTCACCTTGATTAGAAGGCTCCTCAGCTCCTCCTCGCTTTCGGCCATCAGAGTGGTGTCATCTGCATATCTGAGGTTCTTAATGTTTCTTCCAGCCATTTCCACCCCAGCTATGCATTCATCCAGCCCCGCACATCCTCGCATGATGTGTTCTGCATACAAGTTAAAAAGGTTGGGTGAGAGTGGGTGCGTGAGAGTGGGTGCGTTAAAAAGGTTGGGTGCGTCGAATAGATGTCTGTTTTTTCCATGTCAGAAATTATTGCTTTGGTTTCTGCAAACACAGTCCTACAAAACAATATGGAGATGGTATATGACTCCAACAATGTTAAGTTCCTACAATAGAAACCAACTGCAAAATCGTTGGGAGGTATAATAAGGAAATTGGGACTTGCTGTATATAATCAAATACAAGACTAGTTTTTCAGCCTCCTCTTTTAGGCTGAAAAAGCTCTCCGCGGCTTATATTCGAGTCAAGGTTATTTATGATTTTACTCTGTTATTGGTATTATTTTATTACATTTATTATTTTACTCTCTTTATTTGTATTGAAAGGATCATAAGCACATTTACATTGAAGAGGTGAGAATAATGATTTAATCAATTGGACAGTCTTATCTTAAATCGCAGTTTTATGGAAATATGTAAAAACCTTTAACTTCCTGATGCCTCAATTAATATAATTTTATTGGTATCTATTTTTAATTGGTAATGTACCAGTACTTGCTGCATTTCCCACCCTCGTCTTATGCTCGAGTCAATACGGTTTCACAGTTTTTTGTGGTAAAATTAGGTGCCTCGGCTTATATTCGGGTCGGCTTGCACTCGAGTATATGCAGTGTGTGTGTGTGTGTGTGTATATGTGTGTATATATATATATTCATGGTGGGTATGTGAAAAGATTAAAAAAACTGGGATAATTATTATTATTATTATTATAACTTTATTTGTACCTCGCTAGCATCTCCCAAAGGATTCGATGCGGCTTACACTAGGCCGAAGCCCAAACAATACAACAATACGATACCTAGCAAACAAAAACAGTTAAGCAGAAAGCAAACAAATAGCAATATACATTATTAAGACATTATTAAAAACGGAGCCGGCCAGAGAGGGGGAACAGGGTTAAAAGTGCTGATGTGTCGGAGGGATATGGGATTATAGTATATAAGTGCGGTGTGCAAAGTGCGGTGATCTTGGTTCTGCTAAAGTGCTTCTGGGATTTGGTAGTGGGGTTCCTAGTCTGAAAAGGCACATTGGAACAGCCAGGTTTTCAAATTCTTTCTGAAGACTGCCAATATAGGGGCTTGTCTGAGGTCTTTCGGGAGGGTGTTCCAGAGGCGGGGGGCCACCACAGAGAAGGCCCTGTCTCGCGTCCCAACCAAGCGCGCTTGTGACGCGGGCGGGATCACGAGCAGGGTCTCTCCCGATGATCGGAGTGAACATGTGGGTTCGTAGACAGCGATACGGATAAAGCTTTTGTTGAAGGCTGAAACTAAGACAAGTCAAACCGCATTTTGGACTTTAAGAGAGCTGACTTCCGAAAAATGAAGGAAACACTGAACAGCATTCCATGGACACAGATACTAAAAGACAAGGGAGTTACGGATGGATGGGAGTTTTTCAAGAGTGCAATACTCAAGGCGCAATTGCAAACAGTGCCAACGAAGAGAGAAAAATAGGAGAAGTGCAAAGAAGCCAGAATGGATGTCCAAAGAACTTATAACTGTGCTAAGACTTAAAAGAGACATGCACAAGAAGTGGAAAAAGGGAGAAATCACTAAAGAAGAATTGAAGCAAATAGCCAACTCCTATAGGGAAAAGGTTCGCAAAGCTCAAGCACAAAATGAGCTCAGGCTTGCCAGGGACATTAAAAACAATAAAAAGGGCTTCTTTTCTTATGTCAGTAGAAAAAGGAAGCACAAGGAGGCGATAGGGCCTCTTCGAAGAGAAGATGGGGCAATGCTGACAGGGGATAGGGAAAAGGCAGAACTACTTAATGCCTTCTTTGCCTTGGTCTTCTCACAAAAAGAAAGTCATCTTCAACCTCAGCAAGATGGAGTGGATGAGGGATATGAGGACATCCAACCCCAAATTGGGAAACAAGTCATCCAGGAATACCTGGCCGCTCTAAATGAGTTCAAGTCCCCAGGGCCAGATCAACTACACCCCAGAGTATTGAAGGAACTAGCGGAAGTCATTTTGGAACCATTGGTAACCATCTTTGAGAGTTCTTGGAGAACTCGAGAAGTTCCAGCAGATTGGAGGCCAATGTGGTCCCAATCTTCAAGAAGGGAAAAAAGGATGACCCAAACAACTACCGTCCGGTCAGCCTCACGTCAATACCGGGCAAGATTCTGGAAAAGATTGTTAAGGAAGTGGTCTGCAAACACTTAGAAACAAATGCGGTCATTGCTAATAGTCAACATGGATTTATCAAAAACAAGTCATGCCAGACTCATCTGATCTCTTTTTTCGATAGAGTTACAAGCTGGGTAGATGCGGGGAATGATGCCGTGGATGTGGCGTACCTGGATTTCAGTTAGGCCTTCTTTGACAAGGTCCCCCATGACCTTCTGGCAAGGAAACTAGTCCAATGTGGGCTAGGCAAAACTACAGTGAGGTGGATCTGGAATTGGATAAATGGAGCAACTTAAACACTGAGTTTGCTGTCGATCCTGGCTAATCTCCAACCACCTATTCTTCAGCTCCCTATCTGGCTCTGGCTGCTCATTAAAATTCCCAGGTGTTAGATTTTTTTCCAAACCCAAATCTTGAGAGCTCACAGAGGGAGGGAGCAAACTATCATTGCTAGGCCCAGCAGGAATATTCTCATGAGAAACTGCCCTTTGCACTGGGGCCTCTCTGTCATTGTCTGCCTGAAAATCATTGACCAAACCATCTCCATCTTGCACCTCAGCCTCGGCACCATCATTTCCCTCATCATTTCCCACATCAGGATCCTGAAACACAAACACAGGCTGATTCCCAACATTTAAACCAAGACCAAGTTTTGTCTCTTTTATGTTTTTTTGTCTCTTTTACTCAAAGCATCTGAATCTATTTCTTGTTTATTAATCTGTGATTGCTTTTGCTGGTTCTGCGTACGTCCTTGATACACTTCATTCCTCTGGTTTTTGGTATTAACATTTTCAACGTGATCTGTGAAGGGAAAAGAGAATAATGTTGGAGGCAAAGGAGGTTTGGGGCTTCATGTTTAACCTTTGGTTTCTTCTTTCTTGACCAGGGACATGACAGTTCTATGGAGCCACTCCTGGTGTCATGAGAAACCAACCAGCTCCTAGTGGATATTGAGGAATTCAGAAGTGCAGGAAGAAAACCAGTCCCATTGGAAAAAATAAATCATCTAAAGGTTTTGATTTTGCTGAATTCTTCAACTCACTTTAGATCAGAAAGGGAAAAATAAGAGTCAAGTGTCCATACTGCAATTATATATACATAATGCTGTCAACATGGAGGAGAAAGGATATAAACATATTGAATGTGGAAAGAGCTTTGTTCAGCATGGAAACCTGAAAAGACATCATGGCGCTCACACTGGGGAGAAACCCTATGAATGCCTGGAGTGCGGAATGAGCTTCATTCGGAATGGAAATCTACTTTCACATCAAAGGACTCACACGGGGGAGAAACCCTATAAATGCCTGGAGTGTGGACAAGGCTTCACTCATAGTTCAGGCCTACGTTCTCATCAAAGGACTCACACTGGGGAGAAACCCTATAAATGCCTGGAGTGTGGAATGAGCTTCAGTCTGAATGAAAATCTGCTTTCACATCAAACGACTCATACTGGGGAGAAACCATACACATGCCTGGAGTGCGGAATGAGCTTTACTCAGAAAGCCCATCTACGTTCGCATCAAAGGACTCACACTGGAGAGAAACCCTATAAATGCCTAGAATGTGGAATGGGCTTCAGTCTGAATGAAAATCTACATTCACATCAAAGGACTCACACTGAGGAGAAACCATATATATGCCTGGAGTGTGGACAGAGCTTCACTCATATTTCAGGCCTATGTTCTCATCAAAGGACTCACACTGGGGAGAAACCCTATACATGCTTGGTGTGTGGACAGAGCTTCACTCAGAATGGAAGTTTAAACAGACATCAAAGGACTCACACTGGGGAGAAACCCTATACATGTTTGGAGTGTGGGAAGAGCTTCACTTGTAGTTCAAGTCTCCGTTCACATCAAAGAACCCACACTGGGGAGAAACCCTATACATGCCCGGAGTGCGGAATGAGCTTTACCCAAATGGGACATCTACACTCGCATCAAAGGACCCACACTGGGGAGAAACCCTATACATGCCTGGAGTGTGGACAGAGCTTCACTCATATTTCAGGTCTACGTTCCCATCAGAGGACTCACACTGGGGAGAAACCCTTTAAATGCATGGAGTGTGGAATGAGTTTCCCTGAGAGTGGAAGTCTACATAAACATCAAAGGACTCACACTGGGGAGAAACCCTATACATGCCTGGAGTGTGGAATGAGCTTCAGTAGTAGTTCAGGTCTACATTCACATGAACGGACTCACACTGGGGAGAAACCCTATACATGCCTGGAGTGCGGACAGAGCTTCACTGATAGTTCAGGCCTACGTTCCCATCAAAGGACTCACACTGGGGAGAAACCCTACAAATGCCTGGAGTGCGGACAGAGCTTCGCTTGTAGTCAAAATTTACGTAGACATCATAGAATTCACACTGGAGAGAATGGTGAAAATTGACACCAGAGAATCTTTCAAACATGTAGGAAAGCAACTCTTGTAAATGTTAGAAATACAGGCACAAAGGTTGGGATATTTTATCATACGTGGTGTATTGTAGAAAAATAAGACTAAAAGGCATTCCACCCTGTAAGGAATGAAGGTTAAATGAAAGCAAAGTTTCATTTGATGAGAATGCTGGACAATCAAGTAGACAGAAAACATAGATAGTTACTATGATATACGACCCTGTTTCCCCGAAAATAAGACAGTGTCTTATATTAATTTTTGCTCCCAAAGATGCGCTAGGCCTTATTTTCAGGGGATGTCTTATTTCTCCATGAAGAAGAATACACATTTAATGTTGAACAAAACATTTATTATATATGGTACAGTAGTTGTCATCACAAACCAGCATAAGCAGACAAACAGTGAATCCTATCAAGAATTTCTTGTTACTCCCATTATTTCCATGTCAGAGGCGGCCCTAGGCAATTTTCAACAGTAAGTAAACAGTATTTCGGTGCCCCCCCCACAACCAATCACTGATATATATTTTCTGTTCGTCGTGGGAGTTCTGCGTGCCATATTTCGTTCAATTCCATCATTGGTGGAGTTCAGAATGCTCTTTGATTGTAGGTGAACTGTACATCCCAGTAACTACAACTCCCAAATGTCAAGGTCTGTTTTCCCCCAAGAGCACCTCAAGAGCGCCCCTGGGCAACATCTACTCTACTGCAAAGGCTTACTTTGCGTAATGGGTTGAGCCGCCCCTGTTCCATGTACAACACACTGTCTGGAGACTGTAACGATTTCCCACAGCAGTTCCTGAACTTGTATAGCAGGGACAGTATTGCAGCTTCCGGCCACCAGGAGGAGCTAGGTCTAACTTTCGGGGGATGCCTTACATTTAGGAATTCAGGAAAACCTGTACTAGGTCTTATTTTCAGGGGATGCCTTATTTTCGGGGAAAAGGTACAGTAAGACTTGTAGTCACACAGATATGAAAGGAATACTTTATTCCAACAGATAAATAATGTCTTATGAATTATCGAAGGCTTTCATGGCTGGAATCACTGGCTTGTTGTAGGTTTCTTCAGGCACTATGGCCATGTTCTAGAGGCATTCTCTCCTGACGTTTTGCCTGCATCTATAGCAAGCATCCTCAGAGGTAGTGAGGTCTGTTGGAAGTAGGAAAAAGGGTTTATATATCTGTGGAATAATGACCAGGGTGGGACAAAGGACTCTTGTCTGCTGGAGCTAGGTGTGAATGTTTCAACTGACCACCTTGATTAGCATTGGATGGTCTGGCAGTGCCTGGGGCAATCTTTTGTTGAGAGGTGATTAAATGTCCTTGTTTGATCCTTCTCTGTTGTTGTGCTGTTGTAATTTCAGAGTTTTTTTTAATACTGGTAGCCAGATTTTGTTCATTTTCATGGTTTCAATTGTCCACCTGCTTCTTGTGGATTTCAGTGGCTTCTCTGTGTAGTCTGACATGGTGGTTGTGAGAGTGGTCCAGCATTTTTGTGTTCTCAAATAAAATGCTGTGTAAAATTACAACAGCACAACAACTGAGAGGAAACAAAGAAGGACATTTAATCACCTCTCAACAAAAGTTTGCTCCAGGGATGGTCAGGCCATTATATGCTAATCAAGGTCATCAGTTGAAACATTCACACCTAGCTCCAGGAGACAAGAGTCCTTTGTCCCACCCCGGACATTATTCCACAGATATATAAACCCGTTTTTCTTAGTTCCAACAGACCTCACTACCTCTGAGGATGCTTGCCATAGATGCAGGCGAAACGTCAGGAGAGAATGCCTCTACATGGCCATATAGCCCAAAAAAACCTACAACAATCCAATGTCTTATGAATTTCTGCAAATTAGCCAAAATGAACAGACGGACAACTATATGGGCAAATGTCAGTTGTAAAATGTACTAATTGGAAAAATATAATCAAAAGTAAAAGTGTGATTTTATCATTTTATCTGAAGGCAGTGGAAGAATAAGGGATAAATATTAACAGAACGAGGTTTGCAGAAACATGCCCATGCCTGTTTGCTCATTTGTTAGTCCACTTTGTGTGTCTGTGTCAGTATCTGCTTCATTGGCGTGTTTGTTTCTGATTTAGTTTTGTATTTTGTGTATTAGTTTGCTGTGTCATTCAAGCACGATGTACAATTTCTGCTTTTTGTATTGTTGCTTTTCATCTCTTCTCTCTCTTTTTTGAATTTTTTGTCAAAAAAGGGAGGTATTTATAAAGGTCAAAACTGCTGAAACTGGAGGGGCAGGTAGACCTGTTTTTTGCCCAACATGAGGTTTAGTGCCTAATCGAGATTGCCTTTGAACATCACATCCTGCCTCTGTGTTGGTAGCTTTGGTTTGGATTCAATTGTCTTCCTTCAGGCATTATTACCCCGATTCCGTTTTGTACAGCACATGTATCAAGCGTGCTTTTCACCTTAAGAACAGACAAGCATCAGGAGCTTCTCAAATTACCTGGGAAGGAACCCCACTCGAGCATTGGAGCATACCCAAATACTTGCCAGAAGGGACAGAGAGTTTCATCTATGCTGATGATCGTGCCATCACCACCCAAGCAGGGAACTTTGAAATGGTTGAACAGAAGCTCTCCGAAGCTTTAGGTTCTTTTATTCCCTATTACAGGGAAAACCAGCTGATCCCTAATCCATCTAAAACACAGACATGTGCTTTCCATCTTAAAAACAGGCAAGCATCTCAAGTTCAGGCCTGGGAAGGAATCCTACTGGAGTTACCCTTGGCTGTGCTCTGACCTACAAGAAGCACTGCCTGAATATCAAGCAAAAAATGGGTGCTAGAAATAATATTGTATGGAAGCTGACTGGCACAACCTGGGGATCACAACCAGACACAGTGAAGACATCTGCCCTTGCGCTATGCTACTCTGCTGCCGAGTATGCATGCCCAGTGTGGAACACATCTCACCACACTAAAACAGTGTACTTATAGAACAACTAATAAACTTACATAGGATTCCTCCCCCCCCCCCCCCCCCCCCCCGGTTGGTGGCTTTCCTTCTGAGAAGTCAAGGTGCTTCTGTGCTCCTTTGTGCCGGGGTCCTTAGTCAGTCCAACTACGAGGGATGTGCCTGGGTGGGCAACAAGGGTGCCCGTGAGAAATTTAGAGGCACCTCTCCCAGTGATCCCTCGGAGAGGTCTGTCCCTGAGCCCCAGGTCCAGGTAGCGGCTTGCTTTTTTGTGCTAAAATTTAGTGGGACCCCAAGCCTGAGTCCCTTCGTGAAAGTCACCAAAATGATGTCGATCATGAATGTGGGAGGTCCTGCTTAAGCAGAGATTCAGTATGTCCGTAGACTCCATTGTCCTGGATGGTATGGCCATTGGGCCCTCTGAGGTCCAGAAAAAAGGAGCCATTTACTTATTGTCCATGCAAATGGTTTTGGTTTTTTGGTCAAGTCCTTTCTTTGGGGATTATTGGCTCAGGAAGTTTGGAAATCCCTAGAGCCATGAGTTGCTGGTTCATGAAAAGGTCACTTCACATTTCCTCATATAGACATACATGTAAGGAATGGGGCATCTACAGAAGGAGATGCTGTAATGCTGCTATGCTCTAACAGCGATGCTCTTTGCTATGGTGGAATAGCTATTTACTCAAGGTTTATGTTTTGCTCTCTCGTTTGAATGAAGATGAAGAAATCTTATTCTGTATCCAATTCAAAGTGCTGGCTTTAGCCTATAAAGCCCTAAATGGTTCTGGCCCTACTTACCTCTCCGAACGCATCTCCTCCTATGAACCGGCTAGGACACTAAGATCATCTGGGGAGGCCCTGCTCTCTGTCCCGCCTGCATCACAGGCGCGCTTGGCGGGGACGAGAGACAGGGCCTTCTCAGTGGTGGCCCCTCGGCTGTGGAACGCCTTTCCTACAGATATCAGATTGGCCCCCTCCTTGCTGGCGTTCCGGAGGAATTTATTTATTTATTTATTTATTTGCTTCATTTTTATACCGCATTTATCAGCCTGTTCGGCGACTCAATGCGGTTTACAATATAATTCATATAACAAACAATAATTAAGACACATCGTACACGGACAAACAAAACACATAATCATCAACGCCTCCGTGAAATCAGATCCCGTTCTCATAATCCTTCTGCCGTTTCCTTGTTCAATTATACCGTCGTCATGAGTTCAATTGCATTGTTAGCCGAACGCCTGTTCATAGAGCCACGTCTTGACCCTCCTCCGAAACGCCAGCAACGAAGGGGCCTGCCTGATGTCCGCGGGTAGGGCATTCCATAGCCGAGGGGCCACCACCGAGAAGGCCCTGTCTCTCGTCCCCGCCAACCGCGCTTGTGACGCTGGCGGGACCGAGAGCAGGGCCTCCCCGGACGATCTTAACGTCCTCGCCGGTTCATAGGTGGAGATGCGTTCGGAGAGGTAAGTGACAGAGGAAAGTGAAGACCTGGCTGTTTGAACAAGCATTTGATTAAACAGTGTAATTGAACATAGGAATACGGAATAATGGATGACGAGACTGGATTCTGATTTTACTGTTGAGGCGCTAATGATTGTTATACAGATGTTTAATGATTTATGTTACAATTGTTTTTAATTGCCCTATACTTGTCTCGTGATGTTTTGCATCGATGTTGTTCACCGCTTTGAGTCGCCTGAGGGCTGAGAAAAGTGGTATAGAAATAAAGCAAATCAATAAATATTACTTACAAGGACTATGTAAGTTTGTTGCACTGTTTGATTTTGTATGCAACACTGCAAGTTTATTGCCTCTGCTGATAAAAGTAAAGTTTTTCTATTCTTTTTCCCTCTTGCGTGTGTCTATTGCATTGGACCTGGCAAAAATCCGCTTCTGTGCAACAGGCCCTTGCCCGGTAAGTCAGGCCAGGCATTTCATATTTTAAAACAACGGTGTATTAAAATATATTTCAAAATGAATAGTGTCCCTACTTTGTGGATTTTCAGTTATCGCGATAAGTGAGAGAACACTGTGGTTCCAAAGAACTCAGGCCTCAACTGACTTGGAACTGCTGACCCTGGCTTCTGCGCTCTCACAGACTCAAGCATCAACTGCCATTCCTCCAACTTTTGCCATCCTTTCC